TGAGTTCATGGGATACCTGCCTCTCCTCATCCAGTGTGCAAATCAGATGGAAAAATTAACTTAAAAGGCGACAGGAAACATTGCTGGGTCTTCACCCCCCACCCAAGATCACCAGACCCAAGACAATGCTGGAAACTGGGGTGGGGATCGGGACTCTTTAGCTCTTTCTCTCTTCTCGTTTCCTTTTCTTTCCTTTCTTTTCTTTCTCAAGGTTTATAAAAGACCACATCGCTTATGATCCTTTTCCAAATGTAAGCTGTTCCTACCACAAGTAAAACGTTTTAACCCATTGTTCGGTGTCATTTCACCTTAATTTAACCTGAGGATCACAGAACTTTTAGGACTCTCTGGCCTCCCGGTCCAGGTTGGAGCCCACACGCAGCCTTGCGGGCGGGCAGGGGTCAGCGTCGCGGAGCCAGGGCAGCCAGCAGCAGCAGGGCCTGTCCCCACACAGCTCGAGGGGCACAGGGAGGACAGCGGGACCCGCTGCCAGGGCAGGAGGCAGACGGTGCGAAGGCTTTCCTTCTCCACGACCTGAGGGGTGCGTGACGTGCAAGCTGTGGGCTTTGTCTCTGCGCTGGAAGAAGCGTGTGGTGCTGGGGGAGCAGCCGTGAGCACAGCCGCAGCCCAAGGTGGGTGTTGCGAGCACCCCGCTGCGTGCCTTTCCAAAGCTGCGCCCAGAAACATGTGAAATCAGTTTTCCGTGAACGATGTGCAGCCAGTGCAAATCGATCACGGGCTGTTTGCAAAAAAAAATGAGCACAAAAGGGCAGAAACGTGAGGGAAAGGCATTCGTTTTATAGAAGAATTCAAGTTTATAGCAGGGTTCTGCTGGGGAAGGAGGGCCAGGGTGCTTCCAGAGTGCTGACTTCACGCCTCGGTTACTCGCCCATGACACAGAGAGGCCGTCTGTGCAGCCAGCCCTCGGCCTCAGGCTTCTGGATGCTGTCGAATGTCCCTCACACTCCACACGTGGGGTATCCCCCCTTGCTGGGGAGCACACCCCGACGCAGGCACAGCTGCACCGCCAGGCTCCGGGAGACAAAACAAGGCACGTCACAGGATCTGCCTTAACACTGCCCCCCCGCACGCAGCCTGGCGGGGTGTTTCATGATACGGCCCCACGGCGGGATCCCGGCCTCACCTGGGCATGCAGTGGGCGCTGCTCCTGAACAAAGACCTGACTGGTATATTATTTCCCTGTCGGCGTCCAGCGGTTGTCTTCCCTCTCAGCACTGTATGAGCCCGTCCCCAAAGACGAGTGTTCATTCCCTGTGGGTCTCTCTATAGAGCACAGCTTACAGCAGATGTGAAAACTCAGCTGATGCTTGTCAAGGGCACAACGTGTTTTGAGGTGAGAAATAACTCACAAGTCTCCATTTTATACAGGTGAACGGAGGGAAATGTTAAAGACGGAAAAGTAAAGGAAATAGATTGGAAGCACCCAAAGCAAAGGGTTTGGCCGTCAGCCAGCGCTCCCACACAGCCCATCAACATGTCAGTCTACGGGAGGGCTGACGTACACTTTCCACCAGGCAGGCCCAAATTTTATCCAGAAAATAAATCAGGAGGACTCTGGGCAGCAGGGGCCAGCCTTCAGCGGGGGACTGAGCACAATGAGGCTACAAATGTTTTGCTGTGTAGGAGGGACCTGTCCCCCCACACCACAACTCGTCATGGCCGAGGGACTGTTCCCAGCACACGAGTGAGGAGGAAGATAGAGAGAGGACCCACAAAATAAGGAGAAAAAGTAACTTCCTTGTCTGGAGAAGAGCAATTCTTCCAGTAAAATACCTGGAGCGCTCCTCGGATGAACAGCACAGGGTCATCAACAAGTTTCTGTGCCCAAGTAAAATCAGTGACACTCAGCTGGCTGCTACTGGACCAAGTTTCTAATAAAATAGGTAAGCAGCTGCTACTAGACTTTCTCCAAATCCCACCTCTTCAGGGAAAAGCATCTTTTCCTTATTTTCCTGGAGAGAAATCACGTCCACTGCTGACTTTTAGCTCCTAAAGCACCACTTCTGGGCTCAGCAGCACCCTGCACGGACAGATGCCAGAGGCAGGTCTTGGTTTACTACAACAATCAATTGCAGGGACAACTCTCGTTTTCCAAGTCACATCATTGATGTTCTCAGTATTTTCTCTCTCATTGATTTCTTTGGCCTTGCTAATTGACCCGGACAGCTTCTCTGCTTGGTTAAGTATCATCACGGCTTTCCTCGACTCACCAAGGAGATAAAACAAGACACTTCGGTAAGGAGTGGAGCTCATAGCGCATCCTGGTGAGCCAGAGCTTATCGCACAGACCACACGTGTGCATGTTGAAAGTGACACTTTACATGCCACCAAAAAGCAGAAGCTGACCCCAAGCAGCCACGAGCCCTTAACCATGGCGCAGCCTTCCAAAAGCAAACGACAAAGCACCGACCTACATGAAAGCAAACAACTACACGCTCCGTTTGTAATCAAACGTTAAAACGCCTAGGCGAGGCAGTTCTGCTAAACACCCTTTGTAATATCCCGTTTCTCAGCATCTGACTTCCCAGAGCATGCAGAGAATACCCTGTTAACCAAGTTAATAACAGCGTGTCTCCAACCTTAATCTGGCTGCACAGCCATTCTGGTCGCAGTTGTGTACGTGGACCCATCTGCCCCCACCGACAGCCAAATGTCCCATATTTGACAATCCGGGTAACACTTCAGCAACATCCTCACTCGATTCTTTCTATTAAACCGGTGGAAGTTTGTCTCTGGATAAACGTTCGCTCACTGCTGGACTGTCTCCCTTGAGCTACATTTCTGCACGACTCAGAGACTCCAGAACACAGAAACGAATAAACGACCCCCTTCCACCGCTGTCCAATTCCTAACGACTTTCTTGGCGTATAACAGTTTTGCAGGGACAGATCTGACACCACACAACTTCCAGGTGACCAGCACCGAGAAGGCTGGCCGTGGGAGTGGGCGCAGTGCCGGTCCTCTCCCGGACCACCCGGCTCAGATGGGATAACCACCACCTAGTGGTACGTGGAGGCCATTTCACCCTCCGCAGACACCGCCTGCTTGGCTTTCCTAATGAGCTTTTCAAAAAATCACATCCACCTCAGCATCTTCCCCATATTTTTCCAGCTTGAGTTCAGATCTTCAGAGTTCCTCAGCAAACCAGGGAAACCACAAAACCAGCAGAAGCTGGTGAAAAACAAATGGCTCTATGACTGAAATAACGTGTGATCTTAAAGGCATGAGAAATTTCTACTCTACCGTATGACTTCCACCATAAGTAATTTCTCAAAAAATTTATACCGGTATGTATTCCTTAAACCAGAGCCACGATGGAGGCTGCCATGAGATAATCCCCAGTGGCCCTCAAATGTGTAGACTCCTCTAAGGGAAATCAGTGTTTATCTGCAGCTTGAGAGTCCATCCACCTTGCCAAAAATCAGGTCTAATACCAAGAACACTGCAGATTAATGGTCAAATACATTATTAAGTAGCAAGCTAGACAGATATTGGTGCTGACAGCAATATATGCATTTCCACCTCCCTCTCGGCAGCTAAATTAAAGGCTGCTGCCCAGGAAGAAGAACAAAGAGAGACACAGCTCATCAGTTTTTGCACGTGCTTCTGCACCGTGCCTGCAAAAATGGAACTTTCCCAAAAAATTAGTGCCAAGTCCTTCTCAAACATGCTGCTAATCTGTAGGTGCAACTAATTTACCTCCACATACTAATTGGGTGTTTCTCTCAGCAAATGGCCAATTACATGCCTAATAAGCCATTTCTGGATACAAAAATCTAATTTGTGTGCACAATCATGCTAACGATGAACCGAAACTGGGCGTTGAGTTTTGCAAGTCTTCTCCTTGCTACCTGCACAGCCTGCATTTGATCTAACAAAAGCATCAGAAACTGTGGCACTCTTTAAGGACTCATTTGACGTAACTGGCCCAGATCAGGTGTAATTTCATACGCAAACACTTGCTAGTGTTTACACAACAAGTGTTTTCCTTCATTTTTCAATACTCAGTCTTTTATGTCTAACCACACTTGGCTGAAGAGCTTGAAACGACGCGTTTCCCCACGTTTTTCTACCGAGACTCTGAGAAGTGTTTGGTGATGTCCACCAAGCAGATCTCTGCCAGCAGAAAGAGCACCGGGAAAACACTGAACATTTGCAATAGTACCTGCTCTGGTTTGATGGGCTCGGTTGTGGTGAAGATGTCGGAATAATGTTGCCTCTCGAAGACTCGATCCAACACTTCTAGCTGCTGCTGGGTGAAGAGGTCTCCTCGCATCTGTTTCCGAAGAAAATCTCTGCCCGGGAGAGAATGGCCATTTGGTACTGGAGATTCCTGAATACCTGTCAAAGAGGAGAGAGAAGTCAGAGGGTAAGTAGGTATCGCGGTGATGAGACCTACAGAGTGTCTCGTTCTGTCCCTTGCACAGATGTGGGTATGGACACGCTGATAGGCTGACACTCCTTGAGGGGAGGTTACAAGCCAGACACATGTTGCTAGAGAAGCCCTGACCAGCCTTCCACCGCAGCCAACCCTCGCGAAATTTACTGCCAACGGTTCCACACGTCATCTGAGGGCAGGACAAAGGCTAACTGTCACACCGGCGCTAGCCCCGCTTTCACCTCACCCCCGGAGAACCCCTCTGGTCCGTGGTCTGGAAGCAGGAGGAGCGGGGAGGGTCGGCACCCCCGATGCTGCAGGCACGGCCAGCCGGGGTCAGATCTGCTCTGCCCAGTCACCGCCCCTGCGCTTCACCCCCTTCCCGCGGCACCTGCAAGTCTTGCTCACCTCCACCCCGGGCCATGCCCGCAGCGGGAAGGGGGGACCCTCATCCCGCACCTCATCCCGCTGCCAGCAGCTGGCCCAGCAACCCGCGGCACACCGCAGGACTGGCACCGTGCTGAGACGGGGCGTCCCCGGTCGCTCCCCGCGCCACAGTTCCACTTCATCTCTGAAGCTCATCAGCGTGACGGAAGCCTGAGGTCCAAGGCACGTTTCTCTCTCTCTCTCTCTCCCCTTTGGCAGAGACTTTTAGCAGAAGTCATAAGTGACTGCCCATGGCTGAAAAGCCATGAGACAAGTTTGAGAAATGTTTGGACTGGCAGTCCGAAAAGACTCTTGCAATACAGGCGCTTGTTTCAATTTGCTTTTTGCAGATTCACAGTGGTTTCCTACTTTTCCTTCACCTGTCAGTGCTAGAAATGTATCTTTTATGCACTGAAAGCTGAGGTCTGCAGTATTCCCAGGACTCCAGGAGGTGGAACTCCAAGAACAACAGTAAATATCAGATTTCTTCTCCAGATGGCAACACCACACTAGACAGAAGGAGGAAATGTTTTAAAAATAGAATCTTGCTGCCAAGATTGTTTTGAGGAGCAGAATTCAAATGCATCCTTAACAGCAAGATTTTCGCCAGCGGTGCAGTGGCTTCCTCTCCAGGTAGTCTGCAGGCAAATATCATCCCTCAGACCCTGCCTGGTAGAGTCTGCACCAAGGTTGTTGTCGGCAAGGATCAGAGGCGACCCGTGCAGACCCCACTGCTGTAGGCACCGGCGTGGCCCCAGACACGTGCTGGGCAGCGGTAACGTGGGGGATGCACGGCGGACGAGAGTTTTCACAAAGGACTGATGATTTGAGATCATCCTTCAGCACAGCCGGATTTCACAGAAAATGCTGTGTATCCAGAAAAAAACAGGCTGCTCTAAGACAGATCTCTCAAACTGGGGGACCGACACACAGAAGTGTTTTTTCAGCCTAGATCACTCCGTAACAAACTGCTTACACTGAACAGGCATTTGACGTTAGCAACTCATCCTGGAAACTTCCTTCTGAATTTTAGAATTCAGCGGTTTAGGCAACAACAGCTTCGTATTTGCCTGTTTAGCCAAAGTCTAAATCAAGAGTAGACAATGCTGGCTGTCGTAAAGTGCAACGATCAGTTTATTCCACATGGGAAAAAAACTCTGAACCTGTCCTCTGAATGGAAAGTCCAAGCATGTGCACAGAGGTGTGAAAAAATACAAAGGAATAGATGAAAGCAGTGTATCTTTAAATCTTTTTTTTTTTTTTTTTTTTTTTTTTTTTTTTTTTTTTTTTTTTTTTTACTATTCTAAATCAAATAGTATCTAATAGACCTAGTGCTGGGTTTAGTCAACCATAGCTTATAAAATTAAAATTCTGGTTGCTAGCTGCATGGTAGCAAAAGGCCGGGGAGACCCTGTCTCTGGAGCACAGAAACGCTGGCTTTAAATTTCAGGTTAAACTAATGTTATTCACAATTTGGCACTGAAGTTAAAGCTTGATGCAGTTTTGGTCTAAAGGGGGTGATGAAAGGGAGTGAAATGATCCAAGACGTGGCATGACCTGGAAAATGTTCTTGGGGATGCCGGTACGGTTTGTGCATTGTTTATGCACCCAGAGATCAGGTGTATAACGAGACCTCATCGTATTTAAATACGGAGCAGCTGACCCGCGTTTCACCAGCAGCACTTCATGACGGAGTGCAGCTCTGGATTCTTGGGGCGTGAATACGTTGAGGAAGAGGAGGCACTCCAAGGAGAAGGCTGGCACAGCCACCTCCCGCCCTGGAACCCGCCCGGAGGGGCGGCTCGGCCGTGTCCATCCACATCCCGAGAAACAGGAGGAAGAGCAGGAGATCTCCCCCTGCGAGGGGAACCGCAGGCAAACTCTGTGCCAGAGAGGCCCGGGAAGGAGCCGGCAGGTGACGTGCCCTGCCGCACGGGGTGAAACGGCGTGGAGATGGTGGTGGGGCTCCGGAGGGGTCTGGCCCAAGGTCCGGACCTGGTGACCTGGTGCAGCCAGACCCCCCGCCCCATCCGCACGTCTCCGTTTGTCCCGAGGACCTGAGATCAGCCCCGGCGATGTGCTGGGATGAAGGAGCAAGGCCCGCAGGGTGTGCGGCTGGGGAGGGACCCGGGCAGGGACGGGGCCACCGGGATGGCTGACACTGCCCAGAGCATCCAGCACCTTTGTGAGAGGGACACCCGGACCTCACTCACCCTCCTTATCGCTCCCTCTCCCAGAATGAAGGGAGAGCTTGTTCTTTTGCACCGTGTTTCCCAAACTTGGACTAACTGCAGGTAAGTTCTGGGGTTCACTGCACAAGTAGACTTTGTACACACTGCACGCAACACCTGAAAGTTCGTGGAGGTCTTTGGGATGCGTTTGGCTGTTAGACATTATATAAATGTGAGATAATTACCATTAGCATTATGCATTGTTTGAATACACTTGAATATCTTCGATAATTAAAATACTGTTGGCAGGTTTGAAACAGTTTGGGTTATAAATAGGCTCCAGGGAGAGGTAAAAACATTTTTCATATAATCAATGCATCCACCTAGGAGGGTTATGTTTTGTTGACAGTAGCACTACGTGTGTACCTACCTACTCTGCAAAACAATTAGTTCCCAGTCCAATGGCATCTTTCCAGAAATGCTAATGCAGAGCACTGATATAATACTCCCCTTAACACAAAAGAGGACTTTCTGCCCAGACAAACGTTTCATCCCTTATCTCTAGCAGGTTACGTAGATGGGACAAGATGGTGCTGGGATCTGCTGGGGGGAAATGCCCTGTCTGGGCAGAGTCCCAGTGACACCTTCCCGGTTCCGAGTTCACCAGCAGGAGCAGGCCAGGTGCAGGGAAAAGTGATAATTTCTCACTCTGAACTGCACGGACACCTTCTTCTCTGTTTGCATCTCACCCAGAAAACTGACAGCAAACGCCAGTCACTCTCCTAAAGACGCTGGTCTGATGTGGAGATAATGCCAGTCTTACACACTAGCCAAGATCTCCCAAGTCTAGCCAAAGTCTGAGCGGTCCAGGAAGAGTCAGGCACAGAATTGCTCTGAGAAGAGGAACCACGCACAACCTCGCTGATGAGAGGCTGCCTGCATGGCGTGGACGTCACCTAGAGATACTACGTCTTCGTTAATTAAGGGCAGGTTATTTTCTGAGAGCCCAAGCAAATGGCAAGATCAGTTTAAAGAATCTGATAAATTGTGATTTTTTTTTTTTACATACTTTTAGAGTTAAATTCTTGCCCGTGGCATTCTCTGAAACAGCAGAGGAATAACTGAAATTGCAAAATGCATCTGAAATGGATGTTTAGCAGTACTCACCACGCAACTCACATGATTTAAAAGCGTGTTTTGTTTATCCTAAGACTTGGGCCAAAATAAGGAGCGCAAATGACCCTAGAGCCTACCTTCACAAAACACTAGAGCATGTTTAAAAGCCCTAGAGTTTAGCATTAAAAAAAAAAAAAAAAAAAAAAAAAAA